TTCCATACATGCACTTACGTGTGTGTTTATTTAGTTCTGCTCATATCTGTGTGCAAGCATCACTTGCATATATATCCACACCATCCTTTGTGTACATCTGTCCCCATGAATGTTTGTGGGGTCACATGCATTTGCATGGGGCTGTCATTCCACACGGGAGTGTCTGTGTGCATGGTCTTTCAGCTAGCTTGTTGTTTGTAAAAAGGCATAAATGTAGATGAAAGTTTGAGGAAGGCCAAATAAGAATAAATAAATTCAAGGAGACATCAACAAAGAGAGGAAAATATATGTGTGCAGGCACCATATGTAAGTGGCTCTCACAGTGAATGGTGAAGGTGGCCTTAAGAGCATCTTGTTTTCTTTCCAGAGCTATCTTAGAAGTTCTCTTCTATTATTTCCATGTAAAGGGACCCTTGAGTACAAAATTAGTCCCCAAACAGCACCCAACCCCGTGCTCATCTCCTCACTCTATACTGTGTATTCCTGGAGAACAGAAATGGATCTTTTTTCATCTCTAGAGCCACAGTGTACAATGTCCACCACAAAAGTGGTGCTCAAGAAAGAAACCAGGAGGGAGGCAGAGAGGGAGGGAGAAAACAAGGAAGGGGGAAGGGAGGCAGGGAGCGGGGGAGGGAGTCAGGGTGGGAAGGAGGGAGGGAGGGAGGAAGGGGCAGGTAAAAGAGAGGAGAAAAGCAACCCTATTCATCATGAGTAGACAATTAGCCCATGGTAATAGACCTGAGCTAACAAACTGCTGGACAAGATAGATGAGCAGTAACCCATAGGAGCAAAGGGTGACCCCCTCCGCGACCCACCTCATATCTTGGTCCAAGTCAGTTGCTCCCCTGCCCATCTATGACTCTTGGCCCTCAAGGATGGAGGGAGGTCCTTGAGTTGACCTCCGTGAAGTGCATTTATCTACACAGATGCCCACGCTGCAGTGGCATGGGTGAAGTTCAAGCTGTGGGCTGTGAGCCTGGGTCTTTTGTTGAGGTCCTGCTTCTCTGAATGACTTTGAGTAAATCACTTAAGCTCTCGGGGCCTCACAAGCAAGTGTCCTTATCCATTAAACGATACACCGTGTGAGCTCTAAGATTCCTTCTTGCCTCGGAATCCTGTGATACCCTGCAGTGCTGGCCAACTTCTGCCTCCCCTGCCATCCCGGGGCCTCTGGACTCTGTTTGTGACAAGGCCTTGAGAATGCAGCCCTTCCCCTCCAGCCACTGCCTCCTCCCTGGACAATTACCAGTTCTCAGTAGCCACACAGGCCTAATATTTGAGGAAAACAGCACTACCTCCTGACAAGCAGACAGGATCAAAAAACAAGGTAACAGTACCAAAGTGCAGGCAAGCACCAAATCTCAGGCCAGATGCAGAGGTCAGCATCGGAGGTTGCTCCAGCAAGACTTACACCATCTAATTAAATCCACCCAGCGCCGGGCCCAGTCCTTTCTCAGTCAAGCATGCTCCGGGGCTGCACAGATGCCAGCAAATCCTCCCTCAGTTCCCTCGGCTACTCTGGAAGTCCTCTCCTCAACAGCCCATTTTCTCTTCTCTCTCCTACTTCTCCCAGTGAGTCCCCAGTTTCTCCACATCCTTTTTACTAAGAGAGCATGAGCATGAAGTCCTGTCTTCAGGGAGGCAAAGAGACTTCTTGAATTTGTCCACTGCACAGACACATTAGCTGCCAGTGATTAAAGACAGCACAGAATCCACTCTCATCTTCAACTTTCCAGAGCATGGGAGAATAGAATAGAGGAGGCTGGCTGCTTCATCTGAGATTGGAAGGGAGAAGGTGGGTACAGATGAAGATATTTGCCCTGGGGAGCAGAGAGGGCAGGAAGTCAACTAATATTAATGTTCAAAGCACTTAGGAGGGTTCTGAGAAGGGTCCTGAGGATTAATGCAACCCATCTCTCTCCTAAAGGACTTTCCTGTCTAGTGAGGGAGGCTGGCACATGAGCTATAAATGGTAATTTGCATAAAGCATCCTGGAAAAAACTGCCTAATGCAGCATACTGAGGGAGTTCCAAGAACGGAATCATTGATTCTGTCTGGGGAAGAATCAAGATTGGCATCCAGGAGGAAGTAGAACTTGAAGACTTTTAGAGATTTCTGTCTTACTGACTAGCAGTAATAATAACAGGCTACACCTTTGCTGCACCTTGTGGTTTACAAAGCGCCTTTGTGGCCTTTGTTCCCTTTGTTCCATTTGATTCCATTTGTTTGCAGGTTTCCATGCACTTCCACAGCCATTGAGCCTACTCTGCGGCAGGCACAGCTACGGCTCCTAAGATCAAAAAGCATAGTCTTGACTCTCCAAGGTTTCCGAAGGGAAGCAAACAAACTATAACAACAAGTAAAAGCATGAGTTCTGAAGGGAAGCATCAAGTTATTGTGGTGGCAAAAGGGAGTGTGGAGCTTAACCCAGGCTTGAGCATGGAGAGAAAGGGGCAGGGAGGATGACGCTGGGAAGCCAGGCTAGAACGAGCCCTAGAAAGCTTCTTTACAGAAGACCTGCCTGTGGGATATAAAACACTCCCATATGTGATCATCTGGGGGGTCCTCAGTCGGCTTTCTAATCTCTGAATTATTGGGCTTCTGCATTCTTCGGAAGTTTCTTAATGGTAAAGGTGTCATTTAAAATTAAGTTGGATCCCAATAAATAAGATAGTGACCATCTAGTGACACTAGGGAGGGTAGAGAGAGGTTGAACTTGAGATTTTTATGAAAGAAGCAAAATTAGGAGGCTGTTGTGAATGATCAGAGGGCATGTATTAGCCAAGGATACTTGTGATTACCAGAACATTCAACACAAACTGGCATGAGCAATAAAGGAAGCTGGTTTGCTCATGTAGCAGGAAGAATGCAGCAGTAAAGTGGGCTTCAGATGTGCTTCACTGAATTGGACCCTGGGCCCCGACTCTGTTTCTCTGTGATGCACTGGGCTCTGCCTCCCTCAGTGACGGGCTATGTCCTCTTGCTGGGTCTCTTCATGATAGTAAAAGGGAGTGAGCTTGTCCCTACCTCGTATTTGTGCACCACCTTCTTCAAAACAAAGAAGAAATTTTCCTTTCTCCGACCATCACACAAAAGTCATCTATTTACTCTATTTGGACCAGTCAGAACCAATCTCAGGGCCACACAATGAATGATGTAGTCAACCTCTAAGCTAATTTAAGGCAAGAGAGATAGAACCATTAAAGGATGTGTTCAAGAGCCTTGGACTAATCAGGGTCTGCCATGTGGGCTAGGGGTGGAGTAAATACCTGGGGGTGCAGGTGGAAGAGGAGTAATTCCACAAATTAAAATCTGGGTGCTGTGAGCAATAGGAGAGGGAAGGAATGGATAGTGGATAAGAAGCCAACCCTTGTCCATGCTAGAGGGTGAGGAAGGAGAAACCAGGGACTCTCTGGCTCCAAGACTGTGGATGTTAAACAACCTTAACAAAGCCTGGAGATAGAGAAGAAGTAAGTTTGGATGTAGGCAGAGAGGTGAGGGAGAAAAATAAATTTATTGTTGAATTTTAAGTGACTAAAAGACATGTAAGTGGAGATGTTTGATGATCAATTCTGGATCTTTCCAGGAACCCCACACCAGGGAAACCACTACTAAGTGATCCCACTGTTTATCCCAACACTGTGCCGAGTCTCTTTAGAGTTTTGAAAAACTCCACAGTTATTGATTAGCCATTAGTGATTCCCTCCGTCCCTGCATAAGCATTTCCTCTTCTTCAGTGCAGCAGCCTCCAAATAACTGGAAATGGGGCTGAGCAGGTGCAGATCAGAAGAAAAAACATCCCTCTTAATGTGAAAAATTAATTTGTGGCTCTAATTGCTTCAAACTCCAAAGGAAAAAAGGAAAATCTCCATTCTCCCGGCATTCAAAATAGAACACAGGCTTTATCTGTATAAAGAAAATAATCTGTCAAGGGAAAAATAAGAACTTATGCTGCTTGAATGTCAATCTTACAACATTGTAAAGGAAAAGCAGGTTTAATTACAGTCAAATCTACATAGAATCATTGTTGAATGGTGTGCACAGGAGCCTAAAGGTCTAAGATTTCAGACTTGACAAGACACTTCAACAAAGGCTGGTAGAAACAGCCAAGTGTCACAGGGTGGGGTGCGGGGAGACGTGACTCTGGACTGGAGTTCTGTCATATGGAATAGAGAAGACCAAAGCAAAATGTTCTCAAGTTGCCTGTTGGATCTATAAAATCATCACAGAAAATTAAGTCTAGACTTTCCTCCCTGAAATAACTATTTTATTTTCTAGAACACAGCCTTAATGGTTGTTCTATATCCCCGTGAAGAACACACAAAGTAATGGCCTGGAATTTTCCAATTTACCAATGTCAGAACAGAGGCTAAGAGAAAGGGCCCATCTGAAGTGATCCAGAAAACCAGTGGTGACTCTGAACTTGAACTAGAGCAATATTGTGTCCCAGAAGCCAGGCCCCAGAGCCATAAACTAAAAATAAAAGGCGGTTGGTACCCACTCCACAGAACATAAGCCTATCCTTACCCATCTTTCCTATGCCCTCCCCTCCTGTTCCCCACAAAAGAGAATTTGCAGAGAAAAGTAACCTATGTCCTCTTATGAAAGCAATTCCTCTGCACCAGGGTCTGTAAACATTGGAGGGAGGATATGGACAACTCGAAAGAATATATTTTTTACTAAGTTTGAAGGGAAGTAGCTCACAGGGCACCTGCAGGCCTGCAGACAGATGCAGGTGCCTTCTGGTCCTGCACCCAGGCCACTCTGCCCAGGCAGTGCAAATGGCCTCTCCCCAGCTCCGATCACTAGCCTAATCATGACTAGCCTAACACCCAGCCTAGAGAGCAGTGGCGTGATCTCAGCTCACTGCAACCTCCACCTCCCAGTTTCAAGCAATTCTTCTGCCTCAGCCTCCTGAGTAGCTGGGATTACAGGCGCCCATCATCATGCCCGGCTAATATTTTTATTTTTAGTAGAGCCGAGGTTTCACCATCTTGGCCAGGCTGATCTTGAACTCCTGACCTCGTGATCCATCCACCTCAGCCTCCCAAAGTACTGGAATTACAAGTGTGAGTAATTTTTTGGCAGTGGCACCCTTCCAATAAAACATGTTTCTATGCCTTCTCTCTTGTTTTCTTGTCCTTCTCCTTCTATTCAGAGAAAACCCACTGAAGGAACTCAGTTCTTGGTACTGTTTATGTCTCCCCACCCCTGTGTTACATCTCCTGAGATCTTTAGGAGCATTGAGAAAGCACTGGAAAGACCAAAAAGAATAAGAAAACCTAGAAACATATCAAGGCAGTAAACTGCAGTGATTATCAACTCCGAAACAAGAGCTGAGTCACATGTAGCATATACAGACAGGAGGACTCCATGCTAGGAATGTCTTCCCTTAGGACAATGTTCAGGGGCCAGAATGGTGGCTGCAGAAGTCAGAAGCTTCCAGCTGCTTCACAGATCAGTCTTTGGGAACCCCTAGAGTGGCTCCCTTAACTCAAGGCAATATGAAGATAACAGAAACATTGGTTGCCAATCAATAACTGTGCGCCATAGAATGACAATTACACATGCTTCATTATGCAGTTAATGTGGACATAATCCTACAAACAATAAGAAGTATGCATAGGCTTCTGATATTAACTTCCAGTCTCCCGGCATTAAGGAGCTGGTGAGGCCCCTTAGTCAGATGTGACGAGGAGTTGCCTTTGTCTCCTCCCGTAGGGACTCATTTTCTTCCCACGTTATCCAGCCTCTGTGATCTCTGTGTCCCAGGCTGTTCTTGTTCCATGCTAGTCTGTGCCAGAATGGTTACTTCCTGATATCAGTGTCATTATTACAAATTGAAGAAAATACCTGCCTCTTGGCCCTGGATTTTAGAAAGTGGCTGCGTCTGCTGTGGTTATAGAAGAGTACCTACTTTCCTTCCAGTGCTCTCCGCCAAATGCCCAGTTGTCAATAATTCATCAATTTCAGGGCTGGCTTTTTCTTCTACATGACGACTGTGGCTTTCTGTCGCTCTCTCAGAGTACCTCTGCCTGCAAGCTCTGTGTTCCCCAAAATTCCTAAAAAAAGATTGGGAACGTATTAGCTTTCTTCTTTGGACAGGAATAGCAATTTGCAAACCCAAATGAAAATTGTTCTCTTCCCCAACACAGCGAAAACATTGGTGGCTTGCCGCCTCTGACACATTTTGCCTGCCTGCAGCCCTAGGCTTGATTTTCTGACCCTTTTGCACCCTCTGTTGTGTTAGAATGCACTTAGCAAATGTGCCCTGATCACAGTTCTTCTTGTGTCATGCCCGACTCTGGCATAACAGTGTAATTGCATCAAAGACTCAATTGAAACCATGTAACTTTCAAGGATACAGGATCCTAGGTGATCAATCATATTTTTGCCGTAACATACCTTTTACTTTCTAGGAGTTGGCAGAGAGTTGGTTACTGTAGGCAGAATCTATAATTAGCGATCAAATATATTTAGATGACAGAATCTATCCCAGTAGAATATTTTACCCCAACTTCCTTTAGATCTAGATACAATATCTAGATATGAGGAACCTGACTACAATCCTATATGGAGTGTTTGGATCCTGGAGCTATGAAACGGCATTGCTATCAAACTATATATGATGGTCCTATATGCAAACTGGAAACAGTTGTCTCTATGAATCAGTAATTAGTATTTGTTCTCAGCTAAAACATTTTGAAATGTATTTCCAGGTAGAAACAACCAAAGTGTTCATTTCATTAGACAATTTTTGGATGAACAGAGAAACAGAATGTGGTAGACACATACTGTGAAACATTATTCAGCCTTAAAAAGGAAGGAAATTCTCAGCCATGCTATAACATGGAGGAACCTTAAGGACATGAAGTGAAATTAGCCAGTCACAGAAGGACAGATACTGTATGATTCCACCTACATGAGATACTTAGAGTAGTCAAATTTATACATAGAGAAAGTAGGCCAGGCATAGTGGCTCAGCGTCTGTAATCCTAGCACTTTGGGAGGCTGAGGTGGGCAGATCGCTTGAGTTCAGGAGTTCAAGACCAGCCTGGGCAACACAGTAAAACCGCATCTCTACAAAAACACACAAAAAATTACCCAGGCATGGTGGCATGTCCCTGTGGTCCCAGATACTGAGGCTGAGGTAGGAGGATTGCTTGAGCTTGGGAGGCAGAGGTTGCAATGAGCTGTTATCCTGCCACTGCACTCCAGCCTGGGGGCCACAGCGACACCCCATCTCAAAAAAAAAAAAATTTTTTTAAGAAAGGAAGTAGAATGGTGGTTGCCAAGGTCTGAGCACAGTGGCTCACACCCATAATTCCAACACTTTGGGAGGCCAAGGCACGTGGATCACATGAGGTCAGGAGTTCTAGACCAACCTGGCCAACATGATGAAACCCCATCTCTACTAAAAAAATTTTAAAATTACCCAGCTGTGGTGGTGAATGCCTGTAATCCCAGCTACTCAGGAGGCTGAGGCAGGAGAATATCTTGAGTCTGGGAGGTAGAGATTGCAGTGAACCAAAATCATGCCACTAAACTCCAGCCTGGGTGACAGAGCAAGACTCCATCT